TTGTAGCTGTCGGAGCTCACTGACATGCCAAGTCTCCACTGCATGTCCACCAACTGGACAGACACAACAAATTTGAAGCATTTGAGGTGCAAAGTTTACCATAAGAATGCTGGGACGAATTGTAGATACTTTTGAATATACTGTACCTGACCGATGCTGAGCATGGCCTGGACCTCCTGCTGAGCACAGATGGAAGGACCATGTTCAGTCCAGAGTCTGTGGAACACCTGAAGGGAAGCTTTGGTCCACCGCTTATTCTCTCCTTCCAGCTTTGACACAATTTGATCTGCAGAGAGGTTGTTCTTGGCAGCTGACCTGGAATTAAAAATGTTAGACTGTTACAGTAAACTAACCATGGTACAATTATGTAATACTGTATCTACAGTACAAAAAATAGTAAGTAGAATAAAGTGTTTTGCTGGTTCCATAAAGATACTGAAATTTACACCTGATTTTTAAAACTCAGATATAAACATATTCCTGAAGGGTTCATGCTCTCAGTAAGCATTTATCCCCCGTTCTTTGTCAGTAATCAGAGCTGATCTATGATCTATATCAAATCACACTGACTTCCCCATTGTTTTATATATATATATATATATATATACACTGTGTGTTGTAAGATGTTGTAAGAAGCTTCAGAAAATAATAATTATATTCTCTTCAAGCTTCACAAGTCTCCATAAAGCTGTGAATGAGTTTGAAACACCCGAGGAACACACAACACCCGAGATATTGTATTTTCTAGTGGAAACACACTAAAATACATCACATAAAGTTTTGAAAAAAGAAATGCTTCTGTAATATTTTTAGATACTTGTTGAGATTACATATGGTATGGATTCAGGAGACGTTTATATAAAGATAATGGTGAGACTTCATGACAGATTACATAAACTAGGCAAAAAAAAAGGCAAAAAGTACCTGAATGTTAACAGCAAAAATCTGATCATACTCTGCAGAGCTTCTTGGTGAAGTTTGAATCCATCTCTTTGAAATCTCTGCTCAGAAGAACAAAAACACAAACATGTACTGAAAGAGGAACTTTTTGTAGAAAGTTACTAGGAACAAACATTTCAGAGAAAAACTGACTCACGTCAGACATTTCTGCTGAATCTACTCCTTTAGTCTGACCCTGGAGATAGGTCAGAATGGGCTGGCACTGTTGAGATAAAAACATATGTTATCAGAATTGCAGTAAAACCTCTCAAACCACTACATCTAGTGAGCACTGCAGTGCATTGCCTTTCACATTCAGCTGATTAGCCATGAGAACCTCACTGTATTTAAAAGCCTAATATGTGATCACGTTTGAAGCATATGGGTTTAAGATAATTGAGCAAACACTGTAGGCTGATAAAAACATGACATTTGACCTGTGGGTTTTCTTTTTCTATTTTATATACAACTTGTGTGGACATTGTCCACACAGTTTGTGTGAGACATGAATATTGCACTGTTTTTTTCGGAGGTGGTACAGTTTAAAAACCTTCATCACCAAGTTGCATTTGTTAATACTGGTAGTGTTTCATATAACAGATAAATAGATCTGCACATGTCACCATTTTGCAAGATAATATAAATGTTCTTTTCATTAAACACAAATTTGAAACAACCACAACTCAACTTTTTTGTTCTCTGACAAAAAAGGCTTTACCTTGAAACTTATAACTAATCTTGTTGACTCTTCTCCTGTAAACTGATTCTGACATTCTCCCTACCCAAACCTTTCATCTTCTCAATTTTATCTTCAGCTTTTTTTTTTTCAGGTGCTCTACTGACACCTATTGCGTCTGTTTATCAACAGTAAATGAGTCTACCCAAATATGACAGAGGAGAGTCAGGAAATTACATTTTCTACTCTTATTGAACCATTGAACTCAAGCGATATGCAGCATTGGCTATGTACAGTACTTACTGTTTCATCTAACAGATCGGGAGAAATTCTGCAAATGCTGTCCAAAACGTTGTTGTTGTCTGAAATAAATAAAAAAATCTCACCATGTGAGGAAATTGATCACAACTTCTTCTTAAAGTGTTTATATGTCATGCTGGTCAGAGGTCCCATGTTCCTGTTATACAGCCTTTTCTACAGTTCATATGAATCTGCCATGGTAAATATTGCATCATCAATTAGCTCTTAGGAAACAGGAAACAAAAGTAGTAGCATGATTTTTTATGTTTATTTTTAAGTATTCAGGAAAAAAATTAGTACGTGTTTTAAGTGAGTGGCTGGAGGGAAATGCAAACTGTGACACAAAAATAGGAGGCTGAGCCGGAGCTGGCAGGGCTGAGATGCTGAGATATTTATATTTTGAAATATTCAGGATGGGCACGGTTTAAAATGGGAACACCAGAGGGACGGCTAAAGTTGAACAATTTGGAGATACAGTTATAAAAGCGAGATAAGGATGTATTAAAGTGTTGTGGAGAGATAGTGGAGGTATTAGAAAATCGAGTTAAAGATGGGTCCACAGAAGGAACACAATCAAATTAATCGATATTATTAGTCAAATAATATCGATTTTATATATATATATATATTTATATATCTAAATGTCAATTTAAGTAACCTGAAGTCAACATAGAGTAAATTACACGACTTCTGCTGCTGCTGACAAATAACAACGTATACATTATACGACTGTATATATAAGTAACCCAACTACAATCATATTTTCTGTGACAGTGCTGTCTACAATAAACCTTTAATTTTAATGCTCTACATTAAAACTCACCATGTGATCCCTCAGCTGCAGGCATCTTCTCTCAGTCAGTCAGTCAGTCAGTCGGTCTGTAAACAAAGAAAGTCCCTGTGATCGTGTGGTTAGGCTGGCGTATGTCTTGCGGAATTTGACACGTTTTAGTACTTTACGCATTCATTTAGGTTTGATATATAGTTTACTGTTAACCAAACACCCGGAAATAACAGAAATAAAAAATACTTCGTTACAGGACTTCTTCTGGGTGTTTACTAGCATAATGTAAAACACATCTTCTACTGCCACCTATTGTATCGGAGTGGCACCTGTGCGTTTTACACTAAATTAAGACAAAACAAACAAACAAACAAACAAACAAAGAAAAATAAATAAATAAATGAATGAATAAATTAATGAATGAACAAAAAGATTTTGCTGCGTTTTTAATGGTTTAGCTTTGATGGTTTGTCCCTGTGTAACCCGCCCCTGACTCTGGACGGATCCACTGCCAGGGTAAAAAAATATATAGACGACGCATTTAAAAATGGAAAATGTTCTTAATAAAACACAATTTAAAGATACTTAAAATTACAATAAGGTTAATACGAAATTTTGTTTTATTTGCTTAATATCCTGACATATATACTGTTATTTGGTTTTAAAATAAATTGAACACCCCTATTATTCCTCCACACATCAAAGATTCCTGCTCAAATACGGAAGTGATTTTCAGCTGTCAAACAGATTTATTTCAAAACAGTAACTGCTCTTACTTAAAAAGTCCTTACAGACACCTAACTGTATTACATAATGGACTCTCTACGATGGCTGCCACTGGAGTCTAACCCAGAAGTAATTACTTTTTTTCGATTTCATCGAAGTCATTCATTGGGGAACATGTGGGGGCCGCTGCGCCGGCTAGCTAATGCTAACACAGGGAACAAAGATAATGTTTTAATGTTTAACTAAATATGTATAGCAGTTTTATGACATGTTTTTACTTTTCTTTTTTCTGTCGTTTCAGGTCATGAATAAGGTGAATTTGTCTTCTTACTAACTGAGGTTTGGAAAGAATACTAACTGCAAACTGCACAGGGCCATGAAGCCAGCAAAGTTACATGTAATATAAGCATTAACTTTAGAGAACGCAGGGTTTATCTAAGGGCCAACGACAGTTCATTTGGTTCTTTAAATGAGCACTTATAATGCAATTTAGTGTGTAATCATGCTTTTTGCCATGTCATCTAGTTTCTAATAAAATTTACCATATATATATATAATATAATTTTTTAGACCAAAAGTCTTACAAATGGCTGACCACTGATATAACTGATATTTGATTAATAATAATGATGCCACAAAACAGCACCACATCTAATGCCTGGAGGTTATCAATTGTAGTGTATTAGATTAAACTCTATTGAATATATGTCATTTTATTTCTCAATGGAAATCCTTCCCTTGTATGAATACACACCAACTCTTGTGCAGTTTGTCAACTGTTTGGGAATGAGAGCAACCTGGCAGTTTGGAGATGTGTGTGGACTTGACCCAGAACTTCTTAGCATGGTTCCCAGACCTGTGTGTGCAGTCCTGCTGCTCTTCCCAGTGACAGAGAAGGTATTTTTCCAACATCTTTGTAAAATGTCAGAGTGTTGGTAAATGACAGCAGTCCCACATAATTATTTCTGCTTGAGATATCTTTGTGAAGTTGCAAGTGTGACACATGTTTCTTTTCACTAATGTGTTTTCTCTAGTATGAAGCTTTCAAATTGGAAGAGGAGAAGAAACTGAAGACTGAAGGCCAGGAGATCTCACCTGATGTTTACTTCATCAAGCAAACAATTGGAAATGCCTGTGGAACCATCGGTCTGATTCATGCAGTGGCAAACAACCAGGCACAGCTGGACTTTGGTGAGCAGTAGAAAACAAATCGTCAATTACCACAAATTTGGAATTCCATGTGGTCGCATGTATTTGAGAAGTTGCTGCAGTTGTTTTAGTTGTTATTTGATTGTACTAGACAGCAGGTGGACTTTTCTGATATTGACATATTTGATCCCCCCAGACTCTGACTCCTCTCTGAAGAAGTTTCTTGAACATACCTCTAAAATGACCCCAGAGGAAAGGGCCAACTTCCTGGAAAAGGATGAGGTAAAAAAACACACACACAGTCTGTGCTCACGGTCAGGTTTCTGAGAGAAACACTTGTTAAAAGTGTATTTTGTTAACACTAGGAATAAATCCTTATTTAAATGACTTTTTTTTTTACATGAAATATGAGAACTAATGAACAGTTCTGGTTTTATTTTTAAGCCATCGGTTTCAAGGGAGAATTAAAACAAACAGAACCTGTCTATGGTTTTGTCCACTGTAAGTTACACTTATTCTTTTCCTCTAGTAATAATATAAAAAATACCTGCATTGTGTGAACATAGTTCAACAAGTTCACGGTCTTGACCGCTTCTATCTGCTTTTATTTCACCCTCATATATAATTAAATAGTTTGGCTCCTTTAAGGTTACAAAAACTAAAATCTTTAACATGACAAACACAGATGGAAGGAAGGATAATGACAGCACATTGTCAGTCAGTGCAACAAAAGGAAGATAAAGAAGAAATTAGTGTTGACTGATTAGAGCGACAGCTTGAACAAATGTCTGCTCTGTTGAGTAATCTGACTCGAATCAAAGGCCAAAGAAGTCTCTACTAAAAGAAAAACACTATAATTCCGTTTCTTGCTTCTTTTTGTTTCAGAGCATACGTGTAACACATGAATCCAGTGCACAGGAAGGACAGACTGAGGTTTGTGTTCAGTTATAAATGGGCCTCTTTGTCTGAAATTGCCTTTGGAAAACATGAAGCCACATGTTCACATCCTTCACGATCACATGTTGAACCTTGTGTTCTGTGTTTTAGGCTCCAAGCCTAGATGACAAAGTGAACCTACATTTTATAGCTTTTGTGAACGTGGGTGGAAAGTTATATGAACTGGGTGAGTTCGTTATAATCCTAATGAGTATCAGTTCATTCGATACAAACCTTAAAAGAAATTCTAACGATCACATTTGAAATTTCTAGACGGCCGCAAGCCGCTCCCTGTTGTCCACACCAAAACCTCTGAAGACACTTTCCTTGAGGTTTGACATCACACTATATTATAAATGAATTTGGTTGCAGTTGAACATCGTCATCATCTTTTCTTCACTGTTTTCGCAGGATGCCATAGACGTCTGTAAAAGCTTCATGGCTCATGATCCTCAGGAGGTTCGTTTTAACATCATTGCTCTATCCAAATTCTCAGACTGAAGGGAAAAATCCAAACAATCCAAAAATTGATACAACTTCTACTGCCAAGTTTCGTGCTGACTTTATTGAAATTTATTTGTGACGTTTGGATAGAGTAAATAAAACCTCAAGAACATTGCTGTAACACATCCAGTATTATTTCACTCACTCATTAAAATTGTTGCATCTGTTAACTGAATCATTTTGGGAAAACAAAGCTCTTCCAGTTATTAACTGCTGCTGAAATGTCAACGCTAATGCAGAGAAGAACTGCACCTGACGCTGCACTAGGCTGTGTGTATACATCAAACCTTGAATTTCAACTGAGAAAGAAAATATGGCACTTATTTCACTGAGGGGAAAATCACTTGTTTTCACTCTTTGGTTTTGATCAAACACATTAGTTTGACTCCTGGCTTTCAAAGTCCTGGAGATTGATTGTCGTACGGAAAAGGTATTACAAATATCAGCGTCACTGATGCATTGGAAAACCAACTGTACATTGGAGTGGTTTGTGCCTGTGTTTTTGTAATAAGAGGTGAAAACTCTCTAAAATAAAGGTGCATTTATTTAACATTTTCTTCTCATGTTTTTGTTACATCACTGTTCATGCTTCAAAAGTATTTGAAGCATCTCAAATACATAAATATATATACACATTTCCTGGGTTGGCCATGGCCCCGAGGAGCCCCTCCATCTCTCACGGTATGCTATTACGTCCGGCATGCAACAGATGTCACTGTTTCCCTACCAACTTCTGAACGTATGAATTTTTTTTTAAGTACGTGTTTGTACTTTAGGAAAAGAGAAAACACTCAGAGGATCATATACGGAATAAACAACTATTTCAGAACAAGATTTCCGGATATTGTGACCTTATAGTCACATTACATCTTTTTTCTTTGTATACAGAACCAGAGTATTTTTGCGAAACTTGTGAAATACACGTTTTTTCTCTGCTGTTTTCTCAAAAATTTCAACCAATATTTTTGATTTTTGAAGTGTTGATGTATCAGCAGAGAATGGAATAAAAACCTCCACGGAGTCAAGTAGACCTGAGGATGTCCTGCGCATCAAATCCAGGCATTTCATAGTTAAACATTATCCAAACAGTAAACTCATCACGCAAGCGCACTCACGCACGATCGCGATCCCTGTCTTATAAAACCAGCTGCTGCCACTTTGCTGCTCGGAGTCTTCACTGATCTTCGCTCCATCATCATCATCATCACCAGCAGCAGCGGCGGCGGCGGCGGCTCTCTCAGAATGGCACTGGCCGACGCAGAGCGCACTCTGTCCGGCTGCGGCACGGACTCCTTCTCTCCGTTCACGGAGATCATTGAGCTGAACGTCGGCGGACAGGTTTATGTCACCAGACACAAAACTCTGATCGCTGTGCCAGACTCCCTCCTGTGGAACATGTTCAGCAGAAAGTCTCCAAAGGAGTTGGCGAGGGACAGCAAGGGCCGCTTCTTCTTGGACAGAGACGGCTTCTTGTTCCGCTACATCCTAGACTACCTGCGGGACCTGAACCTGGTCCTCCCGGACTACTTCCCCGAAAAAAGCCGCTTACAGAGGGAGGCTGAGTTCTTCCAGCTGCGGGACCTTTCCAAACGACTGAGCCCCAGGCTGAGCAAGGAGAACTCCATCTGTGAGGAGATCAGCCAGAGCGACACGGAGGACAACGCGCAGCAGTGCGGCTCCTCCGTTTGCGCGGAGGCTTTGCGCGCAATGTCCGTCAGTAGTGCCATGCGCTCTCCGTCTCTGGACTCCAGAAAGTCGGGCTACATCACGATAGGATACCGCGGCTCCTACACCATAGGGAGAGATATCCAGACAGACGCCAAATTCAGGAGAGTGGCGCGGATCACCGTGTGTGGGAAAACCTCCCTGGCCAAAGAGGTGTTTGGAGACACGCTGAACGAGAGCAGGGACCCGGACAGACCCCCAGAGAGGTACACGTCCCGGTATTACCTCAAGTATAATTTTCTAGAGCAGGCATTTGACAAGCTGACAGAGGTGGGCTTCCACATGGTAGCCTGCAGCTCCACTGGCACCTGTGCTTACACCAGCAACGACCCAAACGAGGACAAGATCTGGACCAGCTACACTGAATACGTCTTCTGTCGGGAATAACTGCGACGGTGTCATGCTGATGTAAATACACAAAGAGGCGAATGTTTGTGTTGGTTCTCAGTCATCTACTGTAGTCAACAAGCAAATTGGTTTGAACCCACTGATCTTCATAATGGCCCATTTCTGAGTCTAGTGTGGCCAGTTCTCTATCAGAGAGCTGATTTCGTTAACTGAGATGTGGCCCATATTTTGGTCAGTATTCCACCATCTGAACCACAAACATCATCCAAAACTATTTGCCCTTTGTTAAGTTTGGTCCAATGCTCGTCTACTGGAATAATGATTTATTTTTGGTTCAGCTTAGATGTGTGACTAATGCAGCTACTATCTGGTATCTAGGATTTGGCCACAACATTATATCTAGAAGTTTGGCAACCGTTGTCAACTAGCTAAGCCTCACCTGAATCTTTCTAGGACCAGACTGGTCTGTTAAAACAGAGCCAGATGATGGTCACTTTTGGTTTACGTTAAGTGGAGATGTTATTCATTCCTGTTGGTGGACCAACGTGATACATTTTGCAATTTTGGCAGATCAAATTTCTTGAAATTTAGATTAATCACTTGGGACCACTTTGTTTAAAGGACAGAGACCAGGGCTCCTTTCTTGCTGGGTATGATGAGCACCTTGCCCAAGGACATATTGGTGGACAGACTAGCAGAACCCACAGTGGAACGTGCAGCCCACACTACCCATTGCTCCAGACGTTGCACCCAAATAGAAAGAAAATTCCATTTAAAATATTCTATAAATATTATTAAATAACATTTTTTTCTACATCTGAGGTGAGCTAGAGACATGAAATATCAAAACACCAGATAGAACTCTAACTATTTTTAGCATAAGTCAAAAGAAAATAATTCTAATTTGGAGTCCAGAGATGTGTGAAGAACACTAATAAAACCACATCGTCTCCGCTTCACAAAAGTGAATGTCACACTTCAGTCACATCTGACTCAGTCTTAATCAGCATCAAAGAAGAATCCAGCAGTATTGGTATTAGTATTCAGTGTCACTGTCATTTCTAGACTTGCTTGATCATGTTTGGCTGAGTTTGGTACGATCTAATATCTTCTTATCAAATCACTGTAAGTGTACATGTGCTTGTCTGATGGAGTTGGTTTAAACCTGTTCAGAAGGAAATAAAAATCTTCTACTCTCGTCTTCTCACCACTGTCCCAGCCATCCTGTTGTTTTTCTTAGCATACCTCTCAAAGCATATTGTAAATAACTGATTTTCTTCAATCATCTCCACCAGCATTTCAATTTTTTGATGCTATAACTCCAAATAATCTTCACAGGCAGAGTTGCATTTTCTCTGGTAGTGATGCAACCAACCTCTTTTGAATTCTTAACTGAACTGTGAAAACCCCTACACACACGTTTGACTTTCAACTTCAGTAAAACTCTAAACAGACTGTGGGAGCAACTTTACTCTGTTATAACAAAAAGCACTAGGTGTACTATGCAGGAACTTCTTGAAATTAATATCCCTAAATAACCTTGGAAGGGCCAATAGAAGTTGATGATGTTTGTTTATCAGTCACCAGAAAAAAAGACAACAGCTACACACTAAAAAATAAAATACATTTGGCTCAGTATCTAAATGTCTTAATACTGTATTTTTGTAGTAAATAATAGTTGAGAGAAACTGATAACAGTAAATTACCTTCAACTCTCATACCTCAAGATATCATTGTAATTTTTTTTGCCCATACAAATTCAGAGGGAGGCCATGAGGATGCAAATCATGCAGCTGTGGACACATGGAGTCATTATCATTTCAAGTGTAAATAATGAAAGGACCCAGCTGCACACAAACAGAAGGTCCCACTGCCTGTGTGGCTGAAGGGACAGTCGATCAGTGCAAGAACACTATTATTTGATGTCCAGTGTACGGACCGCCCTGAAACTTTCTGTGCCATTTTATAACAGACGAAGAGGAAAGACCATATACAATCACAGAGTATGAAAGAGATAGCATTTTGCTCAGCAACCAGAGGCAGAGAACCTTGTGAGTGTCCAGGAATGTCCTACCTATTCCTTATAGAACAAACTGAACTACAAACATCTTCTATTCACTTATTATCTATTTGGGTCTTATGGTAGACAGTCATTAGAAAGAAAGAAATGTGAGGCAATTAACAACCCAGGGCTCACGCAGTCACACAACAGGAATTCCAGAAAAAAAAAACAAAAAAAAAAACAAGCAATGAAATCCTGTATAATGTTTTGCATGATCGCATAGAGTTTTTGACAAAAACAAACCCTATAAATGCCTAATTCGTGTCTTCATATTTTGAAGTAAATAGGTGATTTTACAGAATACCCATAAGAATTCAAAAACTCCTGTGACTTCTCTTGTGAACTACTGTTGTCTCATTACCAACCTCTCTTTGTCTTCACGGTGCCACTAATCCTTTTCAGGGTTGACAGTCCATGTACTGGTGCCAATCCCAGCAGCCATCAGGCACAGGTGGGGTACACTAGTCCATCACAGCTTTGCATGAACCATTTTTCACACTCATCCCTACTGGATAGTCAGCTTACAGTGATCAATTTACCTAATCCAGCATGTTTTTGGACTACAAACCAGAATACATGGAGAAAACACACAAACACATGCAAACTCCTTCCAAAAAGAACTAATTTTAGTAAGATTGAGATTTAAGATAAGATGCGTGACTGTAAGGCATGAGTACTGAACACTTAACTATTGTATGAGCCTTTGTTTATACACTAACTCTTCTTTCTTTGTTTGTAACCATTAAACCACAAACCATTACAAATTATTGCATTTAAAAGTTTAACAACATGAACTATAAAAGGAAGTACTTACAAAAAAACACCATTACCACATCAATGTGTCCGACACCAGGACGACCAAGACTGGGCCACATTGTCAGTCTGCTATTGGACAATTTGGAAGACAGTCACCAATAGTAATTAGATGGATGTATGTATGGATGGATGGATGGATGGATAGATAGATAGATCACATTTGACTTGTCCTATGGTTATCCTCACCTATCAAACTCTAACCCTTGTCCGGCTGTTGTTTGTAATTGCCTTCTCTTTGAATCAGATGCAAGAAAAATCTGCGATCGTGTCACGATCAGAATGACTGACTCAGTCATACCCACATGAACATGTGACGGTGTCTCCGCCACACTGCTGTTGTGGGGGAGGAAACATATTTCAAACATATGCAGCATAGGTCCATTATTGCTGTACAAACTAAAAGACAAGCCTACTGGATACACACACGTGTGATTCCACCGTGCACTAGTAGACGTGGTTGTATTTCTGCCTGTTAATCGACTGCAGGATTGTCTCTGTCCTCAGGGATTTTCATTATCTGTAATTTGAATTTAATGAAGCTTTAAAGATTAGAGTTACATTAACGAAGCATTTCCGTTTTAATAATCTCTACTGTAAACCCAGCTGCAGGCTAAAACAATGGAGCATTAATATAAATGGCCATTATTAAAGTTAATGACCAGACAAAGAGTTAAGTTTACATAAAAAACGTTGATACAGTATTGCAGTACTCTGTTATCTATCAGGTATCCTTCATTGATGAGTTTTAGCTATGTCGTCCTGCTAACCATCATCTCAGCAAAATCTTAGCTTTCTGGACTAAGTCCGGTCTAAGGTCTCGGCTAATTTCTTTTCTATACCTGGAATAATGTATAGATAATTTAGTTGCAGTTCTCAGTGACATACATAGTACTATGAGTTTTGTTTTTGTATTTTTAAGTTATTCTGAACTAACTTAAATTCAACATTGTAATAAATTGTGCAGTTTTTGGCTTTATTTACTATGCCCATTGATTATGAGACTTATTATCCTACTTTAGTATCTACAATAGCTGAGATATTGAAAATAACAGTTTGTTAGTCACCATAAGTCCTTATCAATGTGTAGTGTGGGGTGGATCTTTAAACATTTTGTAATTGAAATGACGAGCAGTAGTAATAAATGGAAATAAAATTGCAGAAATCATGTGATTCAAGGACGAAGGACAAACAGGGAGATAAAAAGCAAAATGAGTTTTGTCCAATTATTACTGTGGTTATCCTTCTCATCCTTGTTATCACATTTACACTCCTCGTCTCTGACACAACCCTCTACAGATGAGGAATATTTGGATTCCTCACATGTGTCCGGCAGCTACTTATTTAAGATCAAAGTCAGGTTCATTAGCACATCACAACAGAACAACAGTAACTCAGAACCAAATGATTCAATATTGTAATTCTAATCTGTCAGGGGTCAAAGGTCCAAATGTATATATGTATATATAGTTTTATACTGTTTTAATACTTTCTTTCACTTAAGTAGCTTCTGGTACCAATACCACCTTTAGTTCTTTTCTGCAGAAACCATGTTGTTGTTGTTGACTGTTTCAGGACCATACTGACCATCCACTGCTATCAGAGTTAGCTACTCTACAGCCTGAATACAAAGACATAAAAATGATAGAAACAAATTGTGAAAGAGAAAAAATATTTCCCACTAAGCTTTAAGTGTAATGGTTTTGCTCTTGGCCAAATTGACATGACAACAATAACATAAAGCTAGGCACATATCGTACCAATGGCAAATGATGAATCCTGACAGGGAAATTGATTTTCAAGAGTGTTTTTCTAACAACCACTGCTCTCCAATTGTGGACTCCCTTTATCTCAGACTTATGAGTCAATCGCACCAGTTTGCCAATAGTGGCAGAAGCCTCCAGACAAATGCAGTGTTTTCCGATCATCTGAGGTGAGTTGGGAATGTAATCTAACCACGGGGCTATTGAGCCTTCCACTTTTCACAGCAAAGGAGTTCTTTTGAAAATTACAGTCATCAAATAGAAAATGCTCTCTCCACAGCTGCTGTGTACTTCCATCAACGCTATCACACAAACTGGACCCACTTGTCTCACAGGGAGACCATTCATTTGAGTGTTCTCAGCTCTACCAGGGGTTTAATGCTTCTACCCAAATGCAGATGGCTCTTCTGTTTTGTTTTTTTTTTTCTGTTTGATCACTGTGAACACTGGTCACAGTGTTACTTGCAAAATACATCTCTGAGCATTAAGCCTTTTTTCTGACATTTGCCTTAACATTATCAGTGAGACTTTAAGGCAGGGGTGGCAAACTGTTCCACAAAGGACTACTGTGGCTGCAGGTTTTGGTTCCAATCTATCAGTGGCTAACCAATCAGCTGTCTGGAGATCAGTTGATTAAAAGCCAAGCCAAGTCAGGTGTGCTGCTGCTTGGTTGGAACAAAAACACTTTGCCACCCCTGCTTTAAGGCAACAAAGGTTCAGTCAGCACCTGGTCATGTGCTGAATCACAAACCAACTATTTTAAAACTCAACCACAAAGAAATGTTCTCTTCAACTGCACAAAACAAGGTGGGTATAAATAAAGCCCAGTCATTTAAACAATACTTTCCATTCTTTGGCCCAAGGGGGACGGGGGTCTCCATGAATCCAGTTTTTATGGTGATTTAATTTTGTTCCTCAAATTAATATTAGTTCACCCAATATTGAGTGCAATTGTCCTGAAATGGCCGTTAATGTACAGTATGTACAAACATGTATTTGTCCATCAACGCTCAGGTGCAGAATAAAGGCTTTACATTACACCATAATCAGCTCTATTAAACATAATGGAGCAGTTTTAAAATGTTTCCCCCCGCTGGTACTTTTATAATAATTAAGCAGATAGACGGGGGAGGAAGCAGCAAAAGCTCTGACTGGAATTAGACTCACAAATTAGACCCACAAGCTTTATGTGGACTTAACTGCAGGATTTACCTTTTCAAACAAATAAGTGTGAGGCTCCTCTTAACCCCAAACACTTTAGCTGCCCACACTTTGATTAGACAGACTTCATCTTCAGACCTGAGCCAGCACGTAGTTATCACAGCATTTAGAGTGGGATCCGACTTTTACAGCTGTAACCTCTCTTCTATGGCTACTGGTATGTGCTATTGATGTTCTAACATAAGTAATATTATGGGATACAAGATTGGACAACACAAAATCACCTGA